CTGAAGGGAGTTTTCATTCATGTAAAGAGCTGGGTTTTCATGATCCATGGTGGTTATGGCAGGAAGCTGCGGAGAACCCTGCTCTGAGGTTGGGTTCCTGTGAGTGTCGCCCGACTATAGAGAAGGGTAGCGCAGGTAGTGACTTTCTTAGGTGAGGGTACCAAGACCAAACTCACTGCCATCAGGCGGTGCGGACTCGTGATCTGATCCTATGTGTCCAGGTAGAACCGCTCCTGGGAGTTTCTGAGACTGTACCGTTATTAAGAGTAGAAAGCCCATCCTTTCTCCCAAGTGAGAATAGTAGAGAAGTGTATAGGCCCGGGATGGAGATGCTCATCATGCTAATGAGTGCAGGCTTGCCTTTGCTGCACTGTCATGCTACAGAGACCTTTTGAAGCAGCGGTGTTCATTGAGGAGCTGTGAGAATGACAGTGGAGGGAGGACCAAGGGACAGGCAGGGCAGATTTCAAACTGGTGAGTAAAAGTAACAGATTCCTTCTGGTTGCTCCGTTTGGATGGTAAATGCATTTTATAAGGTGGGTGGTAAATAAGCCAATGTCTTTCCCCCAGAAGAGGAAAGTGTGTAAAGTGGGCTCGATATACTATATTTATGGAATTAGAAAGGATTTTGCAGGTGAGAGAAAAAAACAAGGAATCCTTGGAGCGGTGACTTTTTTATATAAAACAAGCTAGTTTTGTTATGTTTCTGTTTGCACTGTCTGGTTCCTTTTCCTATCTACCTCTCCTAGGCATCTTTCCAGGACAAGGAACTCTGTTAAGCTCATGCTCTTTCTTAACCAAAACATTTTTTCAGAGGCAAAGAACAGAATGCGTGTTTTCGTGATAAAAATGAGGATGGAGATCTCAAGAGCCCACAGTGTGATTTAAGAGAGGCCCGTTTTCCCACAGCCCCCTGCTCCTTTCCCTCCCTCGTGTTTCCGTCTTGAAAGCGCTCTGCAGTCTCCTACCTAATCAATAGAACTAGATGCCAAACTGCTCAAGGCTCTCTGTCTTATGTTTTCTCTGTTGCTGGCAAGATATTCTCGTGGCTTTACTCTGGCTTGCACAACTCATGATAGAAAATTGGTAAATATTTTGTCTTTGCAGTAAAAAAGAGAGCTCAGCAGGACCCAGAGATTCAACAGAATTTTGTTTCTGAAATTCTAGCAGAAATAAACAAGATGAGTGCTTGAAATATAACTCCTAGTCGGTGGGTTAAAACGAAACACTTGAGTTGCTGATTATAGCTAGTTCAACTCGCCCCCCTGAAATGTAATGAGCTTTTGGAGTGGTTCCAAGTGGCTTCTTTCTGCTTAAAACTGCAAAATTGCCTAACGCTGTGTCAGTATTTCAGCTAGCATTTAGAAAGTTCATTAGCATCAATGATTGGAATTTATGTGTAGTAGAACGTAGGGACTTTCTCTGAGGTTCTGGAGACAGCACATAAAGAGAACCCCTTGGTATAAGCAAATGGCTTTGACCTTCTTGGTATTATGGGCAGGGGAGTTGTTTTTAGCTTTATTTTTTTAATGTTTTTGAGTAAAAATTCACAGTGACTGTTTTTGTTTTGCATTAAGTATCGAAATACCTACAGTTACTTCGATTGTAACTAAACAATATAAAAGTGGTCCTTGTAATTGCTTTTTGTCAATATGCAATGTCAACTGTCAAACATAAGATCCTGAAGACAATTTGGAAGTCAAGGCCAAACATGAACTGAAAATTAAAATAAAACACTTATAGTGTTTGTAGATATTTCGTGATTGAAGCTGGAGCTATTGTGAAAAATATTCCTGTTGCAATTCTGTTACTTTCCTCCTTGACCTCTTAACGACCCGCCACCGTGTGTGTGTGTGTGTGTGTGTGTGTGTGTGTGTGTGTGTGTGTGTGTAATCTATGTTACAGAAAATGTTAGGTGTGCCCCAAAGCAGACAAAGTGACATTAAAGAACACGCACATGCCATAACCATCTGATTTCAATAATCATAATTTATGGCCGATCCTGCTGGGAGTCCGGTTGTGGAGAGGTCATGCGTCGGGCTGCCATCTGCAAGGGGAGCAGTTGGAGACAGCAGCCGCTCTGCAGGAGGAGGACAGAGCTTTCTCCTCCTGCAACAGTTTCAGTCTCGGAAACTCACCGAGGCAGTTCTACCCGTCCTGTCGGGTCACTATGAGTTGGCATTGACTGGATGGCAGTGGGTTTTCTTCTTAAAATGTATTTGTTGATGAAACTGGATCATTTGTCCTTTGGTGAAGTTTCCTACAATTTAGGCTTTGCAGATTTCCATGTCTGTGCTGTTCTTTAATATGTATGAGAGGCTTCACAAAGTTTGCCGGAAGATTCTGCTTAAATTGCATTTTTCCACCCACTTTCTGAAGCCACTCCTATGGTTGTTTCCTGCACTTGCAGTAGACTGGGGATTAGCTTTAACTCTCATGCAGCTTTCTGGCTGGGTATGTGCATTTCTATCAGGAGGACATTTGGCTGTTTGCCTCTTTTTTTGTGATGTTAAAATTGATTTTAACAATTTAATCTAGGCATCTAACTAACTTGATCCATCCATTATAAAGCCTTCTATCAGCTTTTCATCCAGTAATTTTAGCAGTGGTTAATGATCATTGTCGAGATTCATTTTCTCAAGGAAAGACTTTTTAAAATTAAATTTTATGAACTAGGTTATAACTGAGGGATGAAAGTTGCATGATTTTCCTGCTAGGTCTGGTGGTTCAACATTCATCTTTCAAATCAAGTCACAGGGATCTTTACCGAGCTCAGAGGCAGGTACATAGCCCCCGTCTGGAAGCTCTCTGAAACTTAGGAGCTCGGCATGATCCAGTCTTTTACTGTGCAGGTGGCAATCACATGGGATGTTTTCACAGGTCCAAGCCCAGAGAAAAGGCTATATATATATAAATAGCAAAGCTTAGGTTTTAGCTACTTTTTGGTATATGCCACACCTTTTATACATTTGCATTTATTAAAATAACTGTCTAGTAGAAAACAACTAAATTGCTTCACTTCTTCAACTGATGTATATGTTGGGGCTTGAAAGTCAGGGATTGAATGATCCCCCTCCTTGATCCTTACCCTGAATTGTGGTGGTAACTTCCCACTGCCAACTTGATAGAGGGGGAACCAATGGGGGTGGGGAGAATCAGGTGGGAAGATCCCAGAAAGGTGGTCTATGCCAGTAGCTACTCACTGTGAGGAATTTAAGTTGAGTGGAAGGTAACTTAGAAATGATCTGACCCTCTCTCTTTGGCAATCCAAGAATCTGACACTTGGGAGTGAATTTCCCATTACATGCTATACTCATGGTGCTCCTCCCATTCTACCTGTTTGTTTCAGTATCTTCTATTTTCATGATTAGATTAGACATTCGTAAGGGCAAGGAATTTAATCCTACTTTTCTGTTTAATACCAAGCAGAACCTAGAAAGCGGCCCATAGTTGCTTAATGAATTTATGTTGATTGAATGAATTTAAGCAGATTCAATTTTCTTCCCTCCCTAAAGGGAAGGAGGTTATTTGGAACACCACCCACCCCTTCTTTGCGTCTAACCCATAAAACCCACTGGGACTGAAATGATTCCAACTCAAGGTATGGTTTCGGAGACTCTACATTCTACAGGAGCCCACAGCTTCGTTTGTCTCCAGAGCAGTGATTTGTGGATTTGGGCGCTAATCTTACAGTTAACAGCTCAGCACTTAGCCATGACGCCACCTGTGACACACAGGAGACTAGACGGCACTTCTTTTGGTTGTCGCCCTTCCTCTTGGACCCTTGGCCATACTGGTTAGCAAGGTCAGTCAGCAGTACTGGGCACCTCTTGAAGGGGACCCACTGCTGTTGAATCAATCCTGAATGCTAGTGACCTGACAGAACCAAGTAGACCTGCCCCACCCATAGGGTTTCCAAGGTTGTACATCTTTATGGAGGCAGACTGCCCAGTCTTTCCTCCAGGGAGCAGCTAGTAGTTTCAAACCACCAATCTCTTGGTTAACAAATGAGCTCTTGAACATGGTGCCACCAGGGCTCTGTTTCTTGAAGGCGACCTCCTTCCATTTGTGCCTAAAGATTTTGTTCTCTTCAACAGACATTCTGATATTTAAAAATTAATATGATTTTTTTAAATGGTAAATAGAATGCACTTGAATGGAGGATTCTGGGTACTGTTAAAGAGGAAGAGTCAAATAAGGATAGCAAACCCAACAGGGCAGGAATCCTGTCATTTGTTTTCATCAAACTTTTCCTTCACAGCATTTCTTTTCAGGTTGTAATATATTTATTTGTATGGTCATTTAAAAATACATACCTTGCATCCTATGTCTTGTTTGTTCCCTATTGAACAACCAGCATTGAGCAGTGACTAGAACATATTAGATATTTTTTAAATGATAAATGTCAATGGTTTTCCATCTTACCTTATCTTCTCGTATATGATAATATTGAGAATTAAAAATGCCTTTAGACCAGAGGAGGTACACTGGTACAGATAGGAACTGAAAATACAGGGAATCCAGGACGGATGAGCCCTGTAGGATCAGTGGTGTGAGTGGCAAAACAGGGAGGGTAAAGGGAGAATGGGTAGGAAAGAGGGAACCGATTACATGGAACTATGTGTGACCTCCTCCCTGGGGGACAGACAACCGAAAAGTGGATGAAGGGAGACGTCGGACAGGGCAAGATATGACAAAATACCCATTTATAAATTATCAAGGGCTCATGCGGGAGCGGGGAGCGGGGAGGGAGGGGAAAAATGAGGACCTAATGTCGGGGGTTTAAATGGAGAGAAAATGTTTTGAGAAACAATGTACAAATGCGCTTTACACAATTGATGTGTGTATGGATTGGGATAACAGTTGTATGAGCCCCTAATAAAAATGTTAAAATAAATAAATAAATAAAATAAAAATGCCTTTGGGTAAAAGCATGTGACAACATTGCAGAATGTCATGACTATCAAGTTGTGTCTCAGCAATTCTTCTTTCCTTTGCAGATTCCTTACCTATTCCTACCTCTTGGCCTTCAACGTGTGGCTCCTGCTTGCACCCGTGACTTTATGCTACGACTGGCAGGTTGGCAGTATTCCTCTGGTGGAGACCGTCTGGGATATTCGGAACTTGGCCACCCTCCTGCTGGCCGTCGTGATGGCCTTATTAAGTGCGCACTGCTTAACAGCTGTCAAGGTAAGTCTCTCAAAGTTCAAAATGCTTTCTCTATTTGGGAGGAAATGTTCTCATCTGCAGTATGCTACTGTCCCCACGGCTGTCTGGGTCTGAATTGAGTTTACTCTCTCTGGATCTAGAAACCTCTGTGTACATAGACCTCATTTTTCTCTGGCAGATAGGATATAATTTAAAGACCTAAGCATGGTTAACGGACCATGGCATCTTTAATCATATCATTTCTCTGACTGTTTCTACTGATTTATGGAAATTAGAGCTGAAGATTAATGTTTGCCAACCAGATATTGTTTTCCCTGTTGTGGTTGGCTAGTCTTTAAGTTAATTTGCTTGAAGCTATGTAATAATACAATTAAATCATGAAAAATTATATATGCATAGTAAGTACTTAAGCTATGGGTAAGACTTCTAGTAATGACTGCCTGAAGTTGGATAGTTTTTCTTTTTTAAAAATGGTATGACACGGACCTAATAAATACAACCATTTCGAAATTATCAAAGACAATAAGAACTTGAGGAGTTTTTAGTCATGCTGTAAGCTGCTTCTTACCTGGGGTGTTCCCATGCCACCAACTCTGATAATGCAGCCAGCTCTACTGGATAGCAGCTTCGGTGTAGGAGACTAGTGGATAGCTAGATATTTAGGGGGAAGCGTTTTGTGAAGCGAGAGAGCTGTAGAAAGGTTGAAATAACGTGCTCTCTGTGTGTTCATCACTGACTGGTAAACAATGCGTGCACTTGGCGCTCCTAGGGAGCCCAATGAAAATGGAACCCGTAGGGAGACTCACTTACCTATATCAATAAGCCGACCCGACTATCCGCCGAGGCACCTCATTTTACCACAAAACTGCATTAAAAAAGTGCTGAAAACCTCAGCTTATACTTGAGTATGTACTGCAACTCTAAATGTGTCCTCGACTCCTACTCACCAGCAGAGACTGCAGGCTTGAGCTGTGTTTATAATCTCCGTGTATCTCTTTCGGGGGCTGTAAAACTGTGAAGGTACGGTGGAAAACCCCAAAGATCTGATTTTGTTTTAATTATGAAAGGAACCCGAGCAGACATTACAGCACTATGCAGGAGAAACAGATTTTGTCATTTGAGTCAAGGCAAGCTCATCGTGTGGTTAACAAACTACGAAATTTCTGAAGAACTAAATAGAATCCAAAGTCACTATAGCGTTTCACTACATTGCTTGGTTTGTAACCAAAGATTGCTAGACATGTAGAGAAACCGGAATGTGGAACCCAAGATCAGCAAGGAAAAGTGCCATTGAGAAGGACAAATTCAGACCCAATACATTAGACCTCTACTCAATCGACTGAGTTTTAACAAAGTTACCAATGGAATTCGGTGCAAGAAAGATGGCCTTCAATCAACGATGCTGGGATAACTAAATATCTCCAAGGAGCAAAGGATGAGCGTTATCCTGATCTTACATTGTGCATGGAAGTTAATGGTATGTGCAGCATAGACATAATCAGAAAACTAAATAAACTATAAATTTGTAGAAGAAAATCTTTGTGATATTAGGTTATGCAAAGAGTTATGATACAGGATGTGTATCATACAAACTGTAAAAGACACAGCTGATAAATTGGACTTCATTTAAATTGTTGCTCATTGAGAGTTTATGTTAAGGGAATGTAGATGCCAACCACAAATTGGTAGAAACATATCTGCAAGACAAATATGGATAAAGATCTTGTATCTGGAATATTTAAAGCATTCTTAAAATTCAATAAAAAGACAAGTCAGTAAAAAATGAATGAAAGAGTTTAGAAGATATTTAACAAAGAAAACATACTAAGGTTAACAAACATATGCAGAGGCAATATTATTAGACATTAGGGAAAATCAAGTGAACGCCACAGTGAGATACCACCTTGCACCTGCTCGAGGAACTGTGATGAAAACGTTTCACGATTATCATGTGTTGGAAAGAATGTGGAATAACTGGAACGCTCTCTCAGGTGTTACCAGTGAGAATGAAAAATGGTTCTGCCGACCTGGAAAACTTTGGCAGTTTCTTAAAAACTTTAATGTGTAATTGAGCAATATTACACTACAGTGTTTACCAGACAAATGAAAATATGTCCTCTCAAAGTTCTTGTACATAAATGTTTATAGCAACTTTATCCATAATAACCAGAATATGGGAACACCATGATGACCTCAGCTTATAAATGGGTAAACTTTATGTGACAAATTACTCAGAAATAGGAGGAGGGAAGCTACTGGTACTTGGTACAACACAAGCGAATCTCAAATACAGCATGTTAAGTGACATTAGTTGGACGTATCAGAAGTCATAGTATATGATTCCATTTATACAACATTCTGGAAAAGTGGGAAACCTAACGACCAAAAGTAAGATCAGCCATTGTCTGCATACGATGAGGGACCTGTCTGTGAAGCAACTGACTGACCTAAGGACAATTTTGAGGGGTTGGACACAGTACATTTTTCTTGTGAAGTTTGTTCTTGAATTATACATATTCACTATCATGTGCACTTAAAATGAGTGAATTCAATTGTATAGAAACTATCCCTCAATAAGGCTGGAAAGAAAAATTTTTGTTGCAAGGCTCCTTTGAGTGGGTCCTGACCCATAGTGACTGTGTGACAGAATGATACATTCGTTACATTGCCCTGCCTCGTCCTCACAGTGGTTGTACTTGAACCCCGTGTAGAAGCATCAATCCATCTCACCAAGAGTCTTCCTCTTTTTCCACTGACCCTCTGTTTAGTCACACACTTCCATTGGTGGTTTCAAACTGCTGATCATGGGGATTGCAGCCCAATGTGTAACCACTATACCACCAGGGCTTCTGTACCTGTATGTTTCCAGGGATTGGTCTATCCTGATAACACCTCCAGTGTTTGTGAGATGAAGTCTTTCATGCCATCCTCTCATCTAAAGAGTTTCTGGTAGTAATTTCTCCAAGGCAGACTTGTTTATTCTTGTAGCAGTCTTTTCAAAAGATGGAATTATCAATATTCTTGGTTAACATCACAATTCAAACGCATCAGTTCATCTTCATCCTTCCTTTATTCACTGTTCAGTTTTCACATGGAAATGAGTTGACTGAAAATGCCATGGCCTGGGTCAGGTTCACCTGAGTCCTCAAAGTGAATTCCTGGTTTCCTACCACTTTAAAGAGGTCTCCCACCGCTGATTTGCTGGATGTATATTCATTTGAATTCCAGACTGCTGCTTCCAAGTGCATTCATTGTGGATCCAAGTAAGATGACTTCCTGGACAGCTGTACTCTGCTGTCTGTGGATATTGTCTATTGGTCCAGTCATGAGGATTTCTGTTTGCTTTAAATTGAGTTGTAATCCAGGCTGAGCACTGTAGTTCAAAAACTATTTATTATGGGGAAATCCTTCTGCTATTTGAAATATTAGTGGCATCATAGCAACATGCAAGCCACCACAGTATAATAAACTGACAGGTGAGTGGGGGGAAGAAAAGTTTATGCTTAGATTAATGGCAGGCTGGAATGTAAAATTTCAATTTCAATACAAATCACAATATGTTCCTGACTATTTGGTGGGGTTTTTTTGGTAAGGATTAAAACTCCTTATCTTAAAGTAATCCTATTAGTAGTATTTCTGTAAATCAGTTTTTTAAAGCAAAGATAAGATGAATAACCATCCTCAGGAAACTCTAACATGCCAATTAGTTATAAATAGGTTTGAGCTCAAAGTCTACCTTCTCACTGAGGTGTACCACGATAACCATAGTTGGAATGTCTCTTTACCCCATGCCCCATTTCCCTTTCACTTGCTTATTTTTCATTATACTTACCAGTGTCTAAAGCCCCATATCATTTCATTCTTTTATTTAATGTTGGTTTCATCCAATTAAAATGTAAGAGTCACACGAAGCAGGTTTGTTTGTTCTGTTTTGTTTACTGCTGTAACAAATGCCAAGAGCTTGATACTTGGTACATTTGAATATTATTTACATTAATGAAATGAAAAGAAGTTCATTATTCTGTTCTATTGATTTTTGCATGCAGTGTTTGTAAAGTTAACTAGACGTAACCTATAAAATTCCATATTCAGTAGCAGCATGAATTGTCTGGGGATGAATATGAAGTCCATTTTATTAATATCTGGACTTGGATGATAACTTGGAACATCAACTGTATTGTAATTAATCTACAGGAACAATGTAGTGTAATGTAATGGTGCACCGGATTGGTGTGTCATTAAATGTTTTTTCTTGATTCCTTCCCAAATAATTGAGGAGAGGGGTGAGTCCCCACAGGCTGTCACTTCAGTGGGATATGTTAATCATGCACCTTCCGAGGGCAGTAGACCTCACATACCAGCTTCATCCCTCAAACCCCAGAGCATCTTTGATAACATGATGACTGAAGGGAAACTGCTTCTTTAGAAGGCTGTTCATCTTTTAGTTTCAAGGAACTTGTTTCAAAATCTCTTTAACGGATCATGAAAGAAACGAGCACAGCATTCCAGCTGTGGCGGGAATCCTTCACTGGTGGTTTTCCTTTTGAAAAATTCTTTGCGAACTTTAACCAAATCCTCTTGCGACTCTTAAGGGCTGCTTGTGCTCTACATTTTCATCTTTCTGAAATCAGAGAGAACCATTGGGCTTCCAGCTCCTTTTAAAAATGTTTGGGGGCCAGACCTCACTCTTTTCGCAATGTGCATTCACCCTGGAAGAAGTGAAAATCGGGCCAATTCTCCTGTTAGTTCTCAGAGTATTGATGACTGATTGCGTTTGTGCACATGCTAAAATTAGGTAAGTGGTCCTGGCAATACAGTGGTTAAGCATGTGCTTGCTAGCTGAAAGGTTGGCAGTTTGCCCTCACCCAGCAGCAATTTGCTCCCAGAAGGATTGCAATTTAGAAAATTCTATGGGGGCAATTCTGCTGCACTGTCTCATTGGGTCCCTAGGAATGGGAATCAACTCTATAGCACCTATTAACAACAATGGGATTAGTTACTATGGGTATAACCTTAAGAGC